AGTTGATCTTGTATCCTGCCACATTACTAAAGGTGTTTATCAGCTGTAGGAGTTCTTTGGTAGAGTTTTTGGTGTCGCTTATGTATACTATCATATCATCTGCAAATAACAAAAGCTTAACTTCTTCCTTTCCAAAACGAATCCCCTTGATCCCCTTATGTTGTCTTATTGCTATTGCTAGAACTTCAAGCACTATATTAAAGAGGTATGGAGAGAGTGGACATCCTTGTCTTGTTTTTGATTTTAGTGGGATGGCTTTGAGTTTTCCTCTGTTTAATTTAATATTAGCTGTCAGCTTGCTGTAAATAGCTTTTATTATATTTAGGTATGACCCATGTATTCTTATTCTTATTGTTATTCTTATTGTTTTTGTTATAAAAGTTTGTGTGTCTCCCTTCTTTGAGTTGTGCTGGTGAAGGGTTGCTAGATGCCTGAGTTGTTGTAGGCAGTGTTGGCAATGTTGAATTCCTTGGGTTGCAATTTTCCTTCTATTGAAGCTATCTAATGGGTCTTTCAGAACCGTGTCAGGCTTCCCTGTTGGCCAGGGGCTCCACTAACAAAATGCTGTTGCTCTGTTTCCTGGCTCCTGCCAGGGGCCCAGTTCCCTCTCGCCCCTCAGAAGGGTCTTCCTTGCTAGGGATCTCGCCAACCAAAGGCTTACCTCTTTGCTTTAATTGTAGCAGGGCGATCTGCTCTTGGTGTTGTGCGCCGGTCCCTGCTGTCTGCCACTGCCTGCGCTGGTCTGCTGATGCCTGCGCAGGTGGTGTGCCGCCCCGCCTGGGCCTGCGCCAGTGCTCTGCCCGCTTGACTCCATTTTTGTGTGTTTAGAATCCTTTTATAATTTTCGTCAGGTCCTTTTTATTTATTTTTTTTTCATTTTACAGGCCAGCCCCAGATTCCCCTCCCTCTCTTTTCCTGCTTCCCCCACCTTCCCCCATCCACTCTTTCTACCCCTTCCCTGTTTACCCAAGAGATCTTAAATATTTCTCCTTCCTGAGGCCCTCCATGTGTGTCCTTCTTAGGGTCCTCCTTTTTACTTAGCTTCTCTGGAGTTGTGGATTATAGCCTGGTTATCCTTTGCTTTGTATCTAATATTTATCTGAGTGAGTACATTCCGTGTTTGTCTTTCTGGGTCTAGGTTACCTCACTCAGGATGACTTTTACTAGTTCCATCCATTTGCCTACAAATTTCAGAATGTCACTTTTTTACCTCGGAGCAATACTCCATTGTGTAAATGTACTACATTTTCTTTATCCATTCTTCAGCTAAGGGGTCTCTGGGTCATTTCTGGGTTCCTGGTTATTACAAATAATGCTGCTATGAATATAGTTGAGCAAGTGACTTTGTCAGGTCTTATGAGGAAATTACAGCCCCATAATGGAATGACATTTGTAGACTGAGTTTTCCTGTGCTGGCAACTGTTCTTGAATAACCATTCAGAAACTTAATATTAATTGTTAATGCTCAGTCAATAGCTCAGGCTCACTAGCCAACTCTTATATTTAAATTAACCCATTTCCTTTCTTTTACTTGCTGCCATGTGTTTCATGACTTGTTGCCTATTTTGTACATGTCCTACTTCCTCTGATTCTGGCTAGCGATTCCTCACTCTCCTCTTCTGCTTCCTAGCATTCTCCTAGTCTGGCTCTCCCACCCAATCTCTTCCAGCCCAACTCTAAGCCAATTAGTTCTTTATTAGCCCACAAGAATAATACCCACTCACAGTGTAAAAAAGGATTATTCCACAGCAAGATAGCATACTATCTACCCCCACTCTCACTCAAGATTCACGCAACTTTGAATGGTTTTCATCCGATTGCCAACCATAGCTATTTTTGGTGTGGAATTTCCCTCTGTATGCTATGAATATTTTTATTACCATTGATTAATAAAGAAGCTGCTTTGGCCTATGGCAGGGCTGAATATAGGTAGACAGGAAAACCAAACTGAATGAAGAAGGTGGAGTTAGGCAGACACCATGTAGCTGCTGAAGGAGAAAAATGCCAGAACCTTACCAGCAAGCCACAATCTCGTGGCAATACACAGATTAATAGAAATGGCTTAGTTTAAGGTATAAGAGATAGCTAGGGATACCCCTGAGATATTAGGCAAATGGTGCTTTAATTAATATAGCTTTTGTATAATTATTCGGGTCTGGGTGGCCAGGAAATGAATGTGCAATTTCTAGTTACATAATAGCACCCAACGTTCAGCAATATACTACCACATAAAGACAAAGAAAGCAAAAAAGGGGGAAGCTTCTAGGCCCACAAAAACAGGAGTCAATTGGAGGTTCTTGGTAGCTGTATTTTTCAGATAGGCTTAGTTTGCTGGTATTGAGCAGAGATGCAGTTTCTTTAAGAACTGGCTTCCTGGTTAGTGCTGGCCGCACAAATGGCTTTGGCTCTTTCTAGAAACTGGGGAAATGGTTGCTGGGTGTTTCTGGAGATCCAGTGGACTCATTGTAGCAGGGACACTTCCTGACCTCTTTATAGCCTCCTCTCTCGGGAGACAGTGATGGAGACTTGGGTTTCCAAATATCAGCATTAGATCAGATGTTTGTACAAAAGCCCCTGAAAGAACCATATGTTCCTTTCACTGGTGGGAAGCAATGTGACTAGATGCAGGGGGGAGGGGCTTGGTCCTTGAAAAGTTTCTGCACCCCCATAAGACTCTGCACCGATGCAATAATTAAGACCAAATCAAACTGAATTAGACAAAGCCTAGGTTTAATAGATACAAATGCTCCTGATGGCTTTTCAACCCTCCAGAGAGGAGACAGGAAAGGAAGACTGGAAAACCCTGTATTTGTTCTCTGGGAGACAGTTTAAATACCCTGTGACCATGTCTTGAGTATCTCTGGGGAGGAGTCACCGTTTGGCAGGCTTTCTTGGGTTGGGGTGGGAAGACAGAGTCTGGACTTGTTGCGGGAGGTCCTTCCGCCCCTCCAACCAATAGCTGCTGTGATACCAGCCCATTGGGGCGTGGTCTCTCTCCCTTTAAAAAAGCGGCTACTTCCTCTGCTCTCGCTCTTCACTTCCTGCTCCGCCAGGACTGTGATCTGTAAGTTTTTTCCTCTTTAAATAAATACCACCCTTTTAATCATAATTCCAAACTGGTGTGGCATTGTTCGTGACTTATGCCTTCATGGACTGAGGCAGCTCCAGGAGAGGGGGCTTAGGCTGAAGCCCCCACTTGAACATTCCAGACTCTTTGAATAACTGGATACCAGGGCATAGGGTGTGTCTCTCATCCAAACAAGCCAGACTCTTTAGATATATGGATGCCAGGGGCTGGGGTGGGCTTCCATCCAAACAGTCCTGCTTCAACTTAATGTGCCAGGTTGAGTGGATGGGGGATGGGTTGAGGGGAGGTAGGCGGAGCAGAAGGAGGGGATAAAGGGAGAACTGGGGTTGGTGTGTATAATGAATAAAAAATTTAAAAGAAAAAAAAGAACACATCAATATTGCTAATACTGTTAGCCAGTTTAGTATTTCAGCTTTTTTAACCAGTGTCCACCTGCAAACACAACCTCCTTGCTCCTCCTGTCTGCGAATCTTGCTATTTCTTTGGTGTGTGGCTTCTCTCTCACACCAGGGCTTGTCTACTTGGATCATCCTTAAGGCCACACGTAGTCTTCATTCAAGCGAGACAGGGGACAGAGGTAACTTTCTTCCGAGAAAGAGCAAAGCAATTCTTTCATTGACAAAGTAGGTTCAGAGGAAACAAGTTCACAGTTCTCCCAAATAACTATTTCACTACCTCATCCTGAGGTTCAAGACCCTGACTTTGGCACAAGGGACTTTATGAACTTAGAATCCAGTCTTTGCTTGGAGTTCTGTCTTTCTGAATGTAAGGGCCTGGGACATGCCTTTATTGCTATCTGAAAATACGGCTGCAGGACTGGGTGTCTCTTTCCTTAATACTTAATTCTGTGTCTAAGCATGTCAAATTTCTATTTTTTCCTTTTCCTTCTTCTTTTTTTGTTTGTTTCTCAAGACACAGTTTCTCTGTGTAACCACCGTGGCTATCCTGAAACACCTCAAACTGACAGAGATCTGCCTACCTCTACCTTCTGAGAGCTGAGATTAAAGGCATGCATCACCAATGCTTGGTTCCTGTCAATCTATTAGTAAAAAGTACTAACAGCCACCAAATCCCATCATCCTTAGAGTTACTTTTTCTCCATCCACTAGCAAATATACCACTTTGCCTATAGCTCACAAAGTCATTAGCACCTTTCTACAGGCTAATAATATTTGTTTTTTGATCTGGCTTAACACACAAGGGCCTATTGACATGTCACAATCACCTTTTGGTTGGACAGTGACCCAACTCTAGAATCCCACCCTGAGGCTTTGCTTCTAAGACCAATCATCTTAGGATGAGACTCCTAGAAAAAGATTCATAGTTGAGGCCTTTTTTTTTTTGTCTTATTTGGTGAGTTGTTTGCTCTTGAATAAGTATCTTTATAATCCAGAGTAGCTGAAATGCACTATGTATCCCAGGCTGGCATTACACTTACAGCTATCCTCATGCCTCAGCATTCCAAGGGCTAGGGCTACAGGAGTGTATCACCACATAAGTTGAAGACTTGGAAGCTTGTGGTTTATTGTAAACTACTCTCAGGAGTAGGGACAAGGTAAGCAACTTATGCACAGGGAGAGAGCTAACCCAGTTGGATTTGAGGAGCAGAGAGCAGCAATCTAGCACACCCTTTATTCCAGTTGGAGGCAGGGGGATGGACCACAAGACCTGGAGGTGTGACTCCCAGTTGCAGCTGTCTGCATGTGATCCCAGAGAATCCCCTGGAGATGATGGCATCAGTAAAGAATGCTCACTGCTGCAGATGGGAATACCTGGCCAGAAAAGGACAGCAGCAGCATCTGTGACATCAGTCAACTGTTTTCATTTGTGTCCTGAATAGCAAACACTTCCTTGAAATTCTTCTCAAACTCAGACTCCAGTCTAAGTCCCATTTCACCAAAGTTGAGGTCCTAGAAAACAACAAAGGCAAGAATGATGGTGCTCGTTAGTAGTGAGACATCTTCTTGGCGTTTCTACCCTCTGGTGGAATCTGTGTACTTCGTGGTCCAGTCATATGTTAGGAAACAGACTTTGATATTTCTAAGAACTGGGCCTAGGATAACATTAGAAGCAGAAAATCCTCTGACTGGAGAGATGACTCAGTGGGTTAGTATTTGCCACACAAGTGTGAGGACCTAAGTTCAGATCCCAAACCCACAGAAACCAGTATTTGGTAGTGTACATCCATAACCCCAGCCTCCACAGTGGTGATTGACAGGTTGCCATGTATCAAATCAGGTGAAATGTGAGCAAAGCCCATGGTTGTTCTCTAACTTGGTCCTCATGTGTACTATGACAAAAGCAGCTGCAATTCCACATGAACATAAACAGACTCATGTGCACATATACAACACACATCTATATGCACACACAAAGATTTAAGCTAGGAGCTGAAGAAATGGCTCATTGGTTAAGAATATATACTGATTTTACAGAAGACCCAAGTTCAATTCCCAACACTCATGGCATGGAACTGTGGTATCAGTTTAGGGGATCTAATGCCCCTAGTCCATAGGCACCTAATGTCACAAGTACATACACTGTGCCTTCACGTGAGCGCGCGCGCACACACACACACACACACATTTTCTTCTAGATAGGATTTCTCTGTGTAGCACTGGTTGTCCTGGAACCTGCTCTGAGGATAGCCTCAGGCTCAGGGATCTGCCTGTCTCTGCCTTCCATATGCTAGTATTTAAATACTGTACTATCATGCCCAGATTAAACACACAGACATATTTTTTAAACTATTTAATAGAAATAGATTCTCATGTGTGTATATATAGAAGGATAGCTTAACTTTCCTCTGTAGACAGGCTTTGAACTTTCTGATGCTGGGGACCTTTATGGTGTCTAGATACCTGCTAGATCTTACACTGAAAAACAAAACAAAACGAAACAAAAAAATACAGCTTACTGCCAGGTTTTTGCTTTTTTGGGTTTGTTTGTTTGAGATAGGTCCGATTGTAGCGAGCTGCGTGGAGTCACACCTGATGGAGATGTATAATCAACTCCTGAGACGGCTAAGGCCTGACCTATGCTATGATCACGCAATGATTATCAGCTGCTTGCATATGCATGGACCTATGGGCAATGCCCACCTGGCAATCCGGGATTGGCAGCCCATGCCTACTTAAGGGCTGGGAGAGGTTTCCCCGGGGAGAGAGAGAAAGTGAATAAAGTCCTGGAATAAACTGCAGTGAGAAGAGCTCCAGTGTGTCGCACGTCATCCTTGCTGGTCGAGGTAGAGCTGTGACATCCGATAGTGTAGACAAGGCAGGGTTTCAATACGAGACAATCCTCTTAATTCAGCCTTTGAAAGCTGTAATCAGGGCATGCCCCACTGTGTCTGTCACTCTCAGACTTATGCTACGTTCTTACAGGAAGGTGTGGGAAACTAGACTTTCCAGGTAGCAGAAACTAAGGGAAAGAGTAACCCAGTGGAAAGAAGATACAATCCAGCCAGAGAGGGATGCTGACCTTGAACGTGGTCCTGTGATTGTGGAAGATGAGCCTCATGTCTTGCGCAAACTCTTCCACGTGGGAGTAACCTCTCTCCCTCAGCTTTTTCTTGATGATGTCCAACCACATAGCTTTCTGCACAACCTCGGACGTCTCTTTGAACTGGTGACAGAAATAGCAATGGAAGAGTGACTGATATGGTTCAGCTTACCTTCCACAGAATGTCCACAGAAACAACAGAGTCTGAGGTACAGGGGGATTTCATCACAATCCTACAGGTATCCCTCACAGTCATATGATATCATGAAAGCCATTGATGGGGGGCGGGGCTCGCCACCATTACTTACATAATAATAATAAGGCATCTTGGAAAAAAAGGAACTCTCGGAACAGCAATAGACTTTCAAGAGGACAAACTCACACTTCTGCAAGAAAAGGAGACTCAATCAAAGTGACGTAAAAAGGCAGAGTCCATCCCACACCAGAGCCATGGCCCTACCTGCACCTAGAGGAGTGATTACCAGAGCCTCAGGCCCCAGCTGCACTGATTGGAGGAAGAGATGGGTAGACAACAATGTAAGAATACACTCAACAACATAAAGAGCAATAGAGCACCACCAGAAACTAGTGGTTCTACAACAGGAAGACATGAATAGTCCAACAAAGATAAAACAGAAGAAAATTATCTTTAAAATAACTTTATGAAGATGATAGAGGCCCTTAAAGAGGAAATGAAAAATTCCCTAAAATAAATGGAGAAAAAGACAAACAAAAAATTGGAAGAAATCAACAAATCCCTTAAAGAAAATGAAGAAAAAGCAATCAAACATGTGAAGGAAATGGTTAAAGACTTAAAAACTGAACTAGAGGCAATAAAAGAAAACATAAACCGAGGGTATTCTGGAAATGGAAAATCTGGGCAAACAGTTGAGACCTACATATGAAAACATAAACAACAATACAAGAGATAGACGAGAGAATCTCAGGCATTGAATTTGCTATAGAGGAAATAGATTCATTTGTCAGAGAAAATGTTAAATTCAACAAATTCTTAACATAAAATATCCAGGAAATCTGGGACACCATGAAAAGACTGATCCTAAGAATAATAAGGATAGAAGTCCAGCTCAAAGGCACAGAAAATATATTCCACACAATCATAGAAGAAAGCTTTCCCAATCTAAAGAAGGACAGGCCAATGAAAGTACAAGAAGCTTACAAAGCAGTAAATAGATTGGACCAAAAGAAACAAAAAGCAAGAAAACAAACAAAAAACAAGTCTGCTTGCCACATAATAAATAAAGCACTAAACATACATAATAAAGAAATAATATTATGAGCTGCAAAGGAAAAAGGCCAGGTAACATATAAAGGCAGACGTATCAGAATTACACAGAACTTTCAGAACTTTTTAATGGAAACTCTGAAAATCAGAAGGTTCTGGACAGACTTCTATAGAAACTAAGAGTTCAAGGAACAGCCCAGACTACCATACACAGCAAAGCTTTCAATCACCATATTTGGAGAAAACAAGATATTCCATGACAAAACCAGATTTAAACAATACCTATTCACAAATCCAGCTTGACAGAAAGTACTAAAAGGAAAACTCCAACCCAAGGAAATTAGGTACACCCATAAAAACACAGGCAATAAATAATCCCACACCAGTAAATCCCAAAGAAAGAAAACATATACACAATACTACCAACAACAACAAAAACAAAAAAATGACAAAAACTAACAATCACTGGCCATTAATCCCTTAATATCAATGGTCTCAATTCATCTATAGAAAGACATAGGCTAACAGAATGGATATGAAAACAGAATCTATTCTTCTGCCACATACAAGAAACATGCCTCAACTTCAAGACAGACATTACATCAGAGTAAAGGGTTGGGAAAAGATTTTCCAATTAAATGGCCCTAAGAAACAAGCTGCTATAGCTATCCTAATCTAACAAAATAAACTTCAATCTAAAAGTAATCAAAAGAGATAAAGAAGGATATTTCATATACATAGGAGGGAAAAAATCCATCAAGATGAAGTCTCAGTTCTGAACATCTATGCCTCAAATACAAGAGCACACACATTTGTGAAAGAAGCTTTACTAAAATTGAAATCACACATCAAACACCACACACTAATAGTGGAAGGCTTCAACACATCACTCTCACCACTAGACAGGACTGCCAGACAAAAACTTAATAGAGAAATAGAGGAACTAACAGATACTATGACACAAATGGGAATTACAGATATCTATAGAACATTCCACCCAAATACAAAAGAATATAAATTTTTCTTACCACCTCATGGAACCTTCTCTAAAACTAACCACAAACTCAGTAACAAAGCAAACCTCAACAAATACAAAAAAAAATTGGAATAACCCCCTATATCTTATTGGATCACCAAGGCTTAAAGCTGGAATTCAACAACAATACTAATTGCAGAAAGCCCACAAACTCATAGAAATTGAACAATCATCAACTGAAGCACTGCTGGGTCAAGGAAGAAATAAATTAAAGACTTCTTAGAATTCAATGAAAATGAATGCACAACATACCAAAACTTATGGATCATTGTCAAAGCAGCGCTAAGAGGAAAGTTCATAGTACTAAGTGCCTACATAAAGAACCTGGAAAAATCTCACACTAGCAACTTAACAGCACACCTTAAAGCTCTAGAACAAAAAGAATCAAACTCACTACCAGGAGTGGTAGATGACAGGAAATAAAATTGGGGACTGAAATTAATAAAAATAAAAACAAGGAAGATAATACAATGAGTCAATGAGACAAAGAGTTGGTTCTTTGAGAAAAACAACAGGATAGACAAACCTTTATCCAAACTAATCAAAAGGTAGAAAGAGAATATCCAAATTAACAAAATCAGAAATGAAAGAGGGGACATGAAAACAGACACTGGGGATTTCCAGAAAATCATCAGATCATACTTCAAAGACCTGTACTCCACAAAATTGGAAAATCTAAAGGAAATGAATGGACAATTTTCTGTATCACATACCAAAATTATCTAAAGTATCACATACCAAAATTAAAGCAAGACCAAATAAACAATTTAAATACACCTATAACCCCTAAGGAAATAGAAGCAGTTCACAAAAGTCCCCCAACCAAAGTAAGCCAAGGACCAAATAGTTTCAGCGCAGAATTCTACAAAAATTTCAAAGAAAAGCTAATGTCAATACTCGTCAAATTGTTCCACACAATAGATAAAGAAAAAACACTGCCAAACTCCTTTTATAAGACTGCAGTTACCCTTATAACCCAAACACACAAAGACGTAACTAAGAAACAGAATTACAGAGCAATTTCCCTCATGAACATCAATGCAAAATTACTCAGTAAAATACTGGCAAATGAAATCCTAGAGCACATCAAGAAATCATCCACCATGATCAAGTAGGCTTCAACCCAGAGATGCAGGTACAGTTCAACTTATGAAAATTGGCCAAGGTATAAACAAATTGAAAGAAAAAAACAACATGATCATCTTATTAGATGTTGAAAAAGAGTTCAACAAAATCCATCATCCCTGCATGATAAAGGTCTTGGAGAGATCAGGGATACAAGGAGCATATGTAAACATAATGAAAGCAGTTGACAGCACACCAACAACCCACAAAGTAAATAGAGAGAAACAACATGATTCCACCAAAATCAGAAACAAGACAAGGAGTCCACTCTCTCCATATCTGCTCAAAGTTCTAGTTAGAACAATAAGACAACAAAAGGAGATCAAGGGGGTACAAATTGGAAAGGAAGAAGTCAAACTATCACTTTTTGCAGAGGATGAAATAGTATATATAAATGACCCCAAAAATTCTACCAGGGAATTCCTACAGCTGATAAACATCTTCAGTAATGTGGCAGGATACAAGATTAACAAACAAACAAACAGACAATAGGGCTCCTAAATAGAGATGATAAATGGGCTGAGGAAGAAATTAGAGAAACACCCTTAGCAATAATCACAAACAACATAAAATATCTTGGGGTAACTCTAACCAAACAAGTAAAATACCTGTATGACAAGAACTTTAAGTCTTTAAGTCTTTAGGTATCAGAAAATAGAAAGATCTCCCATGCTCTCAGATAGGTAGTATCAACATAATAAAAATGACAATCTTAACAAAAGCAATGTACAGATTCAATGCAATATCCCTCAAAATTCCAACACAATTCTTCAGAGAACTCAAAAGAATAATACTTAACTTCATATGGAAAACAAAAAACATAGGAACACCAAAGAAAAAACCTGTACAAGAAAGAATCTTCCGGAGGCATCACCATCCCTGACCTCAAACTCTACTATAGATAGAACTAGCTATAGCAATGAAGCAGCTTGGTATCGGCATAGAAACAGACAGGTGGAACAACAGAATCGGGTTGAAGACCCTGACATTAATCCATGCACATCTGAACACTTAATTTTTGACAAAGAAGTTAAAATTATACAATGGAAAAAAGAAAGCATCTTCAACAAATGGTGCTGGCATAACTGGATGTCAACATGTTACATACTAATACTAATAGATCCATATCTATCCCTATGCACAAAACTCAAATCCAACTGGATCGAAGAACTCAACAGAAATCCAGTCACATTGAACCTCATAGAAGAGAAAGTGGGAAATAACATTGAACACATTACCACAGGAGACTACTTCCTAAATGTAACATGGGTAACATAGATGCTGAGAGCAACAATTAATAAATAAGACATCCTGAAACAGAAAAACTTTTATAAAGCAAAAGACATGATCAACAAGCCAAAACATCAGCCTATAGAATGTGAAAAGAGATTCAACAACCCCACATCTGACAGAGGGCTGATCTCCAAAATAGACAAAGCACTTAAGAAACTATACATTAAAATACTAAAAATTCTAATTAAAAAATAGGGTATAGATATAAACAGAGAATTCTCAATAGAGGAATTTCAAACAACTGAAAGACACTAAGGAAATGTTCAACATCTTTAGCCATCAGGGAATGTAAATCAAAACAACTCTGAGGCATCATCTTAGACCTCTCAGAATGACTAAGATTAAAAACACTGATGACAGCTTATGCTGAAGAGGATGTGGAGTAAAGGGAACACTCCTCCATTGCTGGTGGGAGTGTAAAGTGTACAACTGCTTTGCAAATCAATACAGTGTTTTCTCGGAAAATTGGAAATCAATCTACATCAAGACCCAGCAATACCACTCTTGGGTATATACCCTAAGGATGCACACTCATACCACAAGGACATTTGCTCAACTATGTCCATAGAAGCATATTCATAATAGCCAGAACCTGGAAACAACCTACATGCACCTCAACCTAAGAATGAATAAAGAAAATGTGGTACTTTACCCATTGGAGTACCTTTCAGTGCTAAAACAAAACAAAATAATATCTTAAAATTTGCAAAGCAAATGGATGGAACAAGAAAAAAAAAACATCCTGAATGAGGTAATCTAGACCTAGAAAGAAAAGCAGCACATGTACTCACTCATAAGTGGATATTAAACATAAAACAAAGAATAACCAGCCTACAGTCCACAACCCCAGAGAAGCTAGGTAGCGAGGAGGATCCTTAGAGAAACATATATGGATCCTAGTGGAAAGGGGAAATAGACAAGATCTCCTGAGTAAATTGGAAATTTGGAGGAGAATGGGAAGGGTGGAAGGGAAAGGGTAAGGGGAGAAGGAGGGAGAGCAGGATGGAATTGGATGGTAGAGTTGGGGGAAGAACAAAGAGGGAGAAGAAGTAGAGACGTATCTTGATAGATGGAGCCATTATGGGGCTAGCAAGAAACCTGGCACTAGGGAAATTCTCAGGAACAAACAACGATGACCCTAGCTAAGATTCAATAGTGGAGAGGGTTCCTGAACTGGCCTTTCCTCTGTAATCAGATTGATGACTACCTTAATTGTGATCATAGAACCTTCATCCAGTAACTGATGGAAACAGATGCAGAGATCCACAGCTAAGCACCGGGCCGAGCTCTCAGAGTCCAGTCAAAGAGAGGGAGAAGTGATAAACTGAGCAAAGGGGTCAAGGCCACAATAGAGAAACCCACAGAAACAGCTGACAGGGCTAGCGGGAGCTCACTGACTCCAGATTGACATCTGGGAGAACCTGTATAGGACTGAACTAGACCCTCTGAATGTGGGTGACATTTGTGTGCCTTGGGTAGTTTGTGGGGCCAGTGGCAGTTGGATCAGCATTTATCTCCAGTACATGGACTAGCTTTTTGGACCCCATTCCCTATGGAGGGATACCTTGCTCAGCCTAGATACAGGGGGAAGGGCCTTGGTCCTGCCTCTTGTGATGTGACAGACTTTGTTAACTCCCTGAGGGAGGTCTCTGAGGAGGGGAGGGGGGGGGGGAGGGAAGAAGGTGGGAGGAGCAGAAGGAGGGGAGTGAGGAGAACTGGGATTGTTATGTTAAAAAAAAAAGTTTTTAAAAAATAAAAAAAGAAAGACAGAGTCCATACACATTCCCAAGAGGAAGGAACCAATGACTCAGACCCATCTGGAAGTTTCTGCTACAGGAGTGTCTCTTGGTTACAGACTTACAAAGGCTGAGTTAGTTCTCTGCCAATGGGTTCTGTTGTGTGACTTGGAGGAGCAGGCTCCATTGCTGCTGTTCTGTCCCCAAGCCTGTTTGTGCTCTTTCAGGGGAAAGAAAAAGTGTGGGATTCACAGGGACTCACCAACTGTTCCTGGGGTGCCATCCACCTCTGCAGTACCTCAGATTCCGGATGAGTTTGTTGGCTTCCTAAGGACTGCATCCTGCAGAAGATGCAACTCCATGGTGTCCTGAAAAGTTGGACATGAAGTGAGCAGGGGACAAGACCTGAAAACAGCCACTGTTCTATGCCTGCCACTGTGCTTTCAGAATGGCTGATGGTGCCATCTGGGGGAGAGGTCCCTGGGCTCTGAGGGACCCCATGTGGGATCTTAAGCTGCCCGTGCTCTTATCACAGTTGTGGCAGGAGCCAGTCCTTGGAAAAAGTTGGATTTATAGTGAGTTGGGGAAGCAACATTTCCCAACACAGGTTTCTGGGAGCACAGAGAGGCCAGGCTATTAGGTCTGTACACAGAAAATGATCTTCCACAAATTTTGGGAACCTTAGACCTTGATTAGTCCATTACAACCTGGTGAAATGTGGGTAGTGGTCATATTTCCTTCTTTCATGAATCAGTACAAAACAGAAGAACTTGGCATGTGCCACTATCAGTCCTTTGGACCAGGGGTTCTGGTGAGCAACTTTGAGGAAAAGGCAGTAGTAGTTAGTGTGTAGACAAAGGGCCCAGCCTTTGTATCAGGAGAGAAGTCTCCCCTAACATAGAGAACATCAGCCTCTTGCTGACAACATCTAGAAATAGCTCTCTGTATCTTCCTCTTTGGTATCTATTATTAAGAGCTTTGTTCAAGCATCAAAGAGAGAGGTAGTGCAGTGGTCACCCATACCCAGAAGTGTCAGAGAGAGAGAGGAATCATGCTGGTGGACCAGGCCCAAAAAACATCACACAGAGAGGGAGCAAGTCAGCAGTCACAGACCCAGGCCGGAAGATTCAGAGAAACAGGAATCATGATGCTGGTCCTGCCCATGGCCCAGAAGCCATCAGAGAGAAAGGGAGCACAGCAGTGGCCCTGGCTCTGGCCCAGAAGAGTCATAGAGGGAGTATGGTATCTGTCATAGCAGCCCAGAAGCACTGACAGTAGCAGTTATGGAAACTATATTAAGAAGTTCCTCTGGGAAAGATCACTTGTGTCCCAACTAGCATCCAGTGCCACCCTCTGTATGAGAAATCCCACTGCTTCAGCAACCACCAGAGCCACAGACCTGCCTGCACATAGAGGAGTGATTGCCAGAGCCATGGCCCCACCTGCACTTGTAAAAGCAATCATCTGAGCCTCAGGTCCACCTGCACCTGGAGGAGTGATCACCTGAGGCTCTGCTCTGCTTGTTCCTGGATGAGCTATCAACAGAGCCAGAGCCACCAACTGTCATGAACTGGAGGAAAAGGTACCCCCTGAAGCACAAATTCCATCTGTACCAATTGGAGGAAGAGGTGGGTAGACAACAGTGCAAGAATACGCTCAACAACATAAAGAGCAATACAGCACCACCAGAAACAAGACGTTCTACAACAGCAAGACCTGAACATACAAAAGCAGATGAAACAGTGAAGATGACCTTAAAAATAATTTTATGATTGTGGCACACGCCTTTAATCCCAGCACTCGGGAGGCAGAGGCAGGCGATCACTGTGAGTTCAAGGCCAGCCTGAACTACAAGAGCTAGTTCCAGCACAGGAACCAAAAAAAGCTAGGAAGAAATCCTGTCTCGAAAAATCCAAAAAAGAAAATAAATAATTTTATGAATATTATTGAGGCCTTTAAAGAGGAAATGAAAATTTCCTTAAGTAAATGGAAGAAAAGGCAAACAAAAAATTGGAAGAAATCAACAAATCCCCTTAAAGAAAACCAAGAGAAAGAAAACAAACAGATAAAGGAAATGGTTTAAGAATTCAAAATTGAAGCAAAGGCATTAAAGAAAACACAAATCAAGGGTATTCTGGAAATGGAAAATTTTGGTAAACAGTCAGAAGATACAGATGCAAGCATAAACAAGAGAATACAAGAGATCAAAGAGAGACTCTCAGGCACTGAAGATACAATAGAGGAAATAGATTCATCGGTCAAAGAAAGTGTTAAATCCAACAAATTCTTAACACAAAATATCCAGGAAAATAACCATAAAAAGACCAAACCTAATAATAATAGGGATAGAAGAAGAAGTCCAGCTCAAAGGCACAGAAGATGTATTTAACAAAATCATAGAAGAAAACTTTCTCAGTATAAATCAGGACATGCCTAAGAAAGTAAAAGAAGCTTCAGAAACACCAAATAGACTGAAACAAAAAAAAAGTTCCCTCACAACATAATCATTAAAACACTAAAGATACATTATAAAGAAAGAATATTAAGAGCTGCAAAGGAAAAAAAAAAAGTAACACATAAAGTCAGAACCACCAGAATAACGCCTGACTTCTCAATGGAAACACTGAAAGCCAGAAGGTCCTGAACAGGTGTTATGCAAACACTAGGAGACCATAGAGGCCAGCCCAGACTACTATATCCAGCAAAGCTTCCAATCACCATAGATGGGGAAAACAAGATATTTCATTACAAAACCAGATTTAAACAATACCTAATCATAAATCCAGTTCTACAGAAAGTACTAGAAGGAAAACTCCAACCCGAAGAATTTAGCTACAGTCACAAAAACACAGGCAATAATCAATCCCATACCCATAAATCCCAAAGAAAGGAAATACACACACAAAACCGCCAACAACAATAAAAACAAAAAAAATAACAGGAACTAACAATCACTGGTCATTAATATGCCTTAATATCAATGGACTTAATTCACCTGTAAAAAGACAGGCTAGCTGGGCGGTGGTAGCACACACCTTTAATCCCAGCACCTGGGAGGCGGAGGCAGGCAGATCTCTGTGAGTTCGAGGTTAGCCTGGTCTACAAGAGCTAATTCCAGGACAGGAACCAAAAGCTACAGAGAAGCCCCGTCTCTAAAAAAATCAAAAAAAAAAAAAGAAAAGAAAAGAAAAGACAGGCTAACAGATTGGATATGAAAACAGAATTCATCCTTCTGCTGCATACAAGAAACATACCTCAACTTCAAAGACAGACATTACCTCAGAGTAAAGGGTTGGGAAAAGATTTTTCAATCAAATGGTCCTAAGTAACAAACTGGTGTAGCTATCCTAATATCTAACAAAATATACTTCAACCTAAATTAATCAAAAGAGATAAAGAAGGACATTTCATATTTATAGCAGGAAAACTCCAACAAGATAAAGTCTCCATTCTAAACATCCAAATACAAGGGCATCAACAATTGTAAAAGAAACATTACTAATTCACAGATCAAGCCCCACACTCTAGTAGTGGGTACTCCACACTCACCACTGGACAGGTCTCCCAGAAAGAAATTTAACAGAGAAAAAAAGGAACTAACAGATATTATGACTCAAATGGACTTGACAGACATCTACAAAACATGCCACACAAACACAAAAGAATATACATTCTTCTCAGCATCTCATGGAACCATCTCTAAAACTGACCATAAACTCGGTAACAAAGCAAACCTTAACAGATACAAAAAAAAAAAATACAATAATCCACTGTATCTCGTCGGATCACCATGGCTTAAAGTTAGAATTCAACAACAATATAAATTGCAGAAAACCTACAAACTCATAAAAACTGAATAATGCCCCATTCAATCACCCCTGGATCAAGGAAGAAATGAAGAAAGGAATTAAAGACTTCCTAAGAATTCAATGAAAATGAACATTCAACATACCCAAACTAATAGGACACTACAAAAGCATTGCTAAGAGGAAAGTTCATAACACTAAATGTCTACATAAGAAAAATTGGAGAAATCCCATGCTAGCAAATTAACAGAACACCTGAAATCTCTAGAACAAAAAGAAGCAAACTCAACAAAAAGGAGTAGATGCCAGGAAATAATGAAATTGATAACTAAAATCAATAAAATAGAAACAAAGAAAATAATATAAAGAATCAATAAAACAAAGAGTTGGTTGTTTGAGAAAATCAACAGGATAGATAAACCCTTATCCAAACTAACCAAAATGGAGAAAGAGAGAAATCCAAATTAACAAAATCAGAAATGAAAAGAGGGACACAACAACAGTCATGGAGGAAACCCAGAGAATTATCAGGTCAATCTTCAAAAACCTGTATTCCACAAAATTTGAAAATTTAAAAGAAATGAATAATTTTCTGGATAGGGACCACATAACAAAAGTAAATCAAGAACAGAAAAACTATTTAGACCTATAGTCCCTGAGGGAATAGAAGCAGTCATTAAAACACTCTCAACCAAAAAAAAAAAAAAAAAAAAAAAAAAAAAAAAAAAAAAAAACAAGGGGCCAGGTCCAGTGCAGAATTATACCAGAACTTGAAAGAAGAGCTAACACCAATACTCCTCAAATTGTTCTACACAATAAAACAGAAGAAATATTGTCAAACTCCTTCCTTTAACAAGGCTACAGTTACCCTGATACCCAAACCACACAAAGATACAACAAAAATAGAGGACTACAGAACAATCTCCTTCATGAACACTGATGCAAAAATATTCAATAAAATACTGGCAAAGCAAAGCCAAGAACACATAAAATAATAATCTACCATAACCAAGTAGACTTTATTCCAGAGATGCAGGATTGGTTCAACATATGGAAAACTGAAAGAAAAAAAACACATGATCACCTCATTAGATGCTGAAAAAAAATCCAACATCCTTGCATGGTAAAGATCTTTGAGGGATCAGGGATACAAGGATCATATGTAAAGATAATGAAAGTAATTTACAGCAAGCTGACAGCCAACATCAAATTCAATGGAGAGAAACTCAAAGTGATTTCACTAAGATCAGAAACAAGACAAGGCTTTCTATTCTCTCCATAGCTGTTCAATATAGTATTCAAAGTTCTAACTAAAGCAATAAAGACAACAAAGGGATATCAAGCAGATACAAATTGGAAAGGTAGACATCAAACTATCACTTCTTGCAGATGATATGATAGCATATATAAATGATGCCAAAGAACTCTACCCGGGAATTCCTACAGCTGATAAACATCTTTAGTTATGTGGTAGGATACAAGATTAAGTCAAAAATATCAGTAGCCCTCCTATACACAAATGATAAATGGACTGAGAAAGAAATCAGAACAATAGCACCCTTCATAATAGCCACAAATAATATTAAATATCTTGAGGCAACTTTTACCAAACAAATTAAAGACCTGTGTGACAAGAATTTTAAGTCTCTAAAGAAAGAAATTGAAGAAGCCATCAGAAAATGGAAAGATCTCCCATACTCATAGATAGACTGGATCAACATAATAAAAATGGCAATCTTACCAAAAACAATCTACAGATTCAAAATTTCAATACAATTCTACAGAGACCTTGAAAGAATATTATTCAACTTCATATGGAAAAACAAAAAACTCAGGAGTCAAGAGAAGTTTAAACAATAAAAGATTTTATGGAGGCATCACAATCCCTGACCTCAAGCTCTACCATAGAGCTATAGTAATTAAAACAGCATGGTAGGAATAAAAACAGACACAAGGAACAATGGGATTGAACTGAAGACCCTGACGTTAATCCACACACATATGAACACCTGATTTTTGACAATGAAGCCATAAAGGTACAATGGAAAAGGACATCTTTAACAAATGGTGTTGGCTTAACTGGATGTTGACATGTAAAAGATTGCAAATAAATCCATATCTATCACCTTGCACAAAACTCAAGTCCAAGTGGATCAAGGATCTCAACATAAAGCCAATAGCATTAAACCTGATAGAAGATGTAGGTTACAGCCTTGAATGTGTTGGCACAGGAGACCACTTCCAAAATAGAACACCAGTAACACAGACACTGAAAACAACAATCAATAAATGGGACATCCTGAAACTGAAAAACTTCTGTAAGGCAAAGAACATGGAAAACAAGACAAACAGCAACCTGCAGATTGGGAAAAAGATCTTCACCAATTCTACATCTGACAGAGGGACTGGTCTCCAAAATACATAAAGAACTCAAGAAACTAGACAACAAACACCAAATAATCCAATTAAAAAATGGGTCAAGAGCTAAACAGATAATTCTCAACAGAAGAAGCTCAAATAGCCAAAAAGACATTTAGGAATTGCTCGGCATCCTTAATCATCAGGAAAATGGTAAACATCAGGAAAATGGAAAACAAAATTACTCTGAGATACCATATTACACCTGTCAGAATGGCTAGGATCAAAAACACTGATGACAGCTTATGTTGGAGAGGATGTGAAATAAGGGGAACGCTCCTCCACTACTTGTGGGAATGACCACTTACTTATACAGCTGCTCTGGAAATGGTTTTATATAAAACTGAAAATCAATCTACCTCAAGACCCAGTGATATCACTCCTGGGCATATACCCAAATGATACTCAGTCATACCATGAGAAGAGTTGCTCAACAATATTCATAACAGTATTATTCATAATAGCCAGAACCTGGAAACAACCTAGATGTTCCTTAACTGAAGAATGGATAAGGAAAATGTGCTACATTAACACTTTGGAGTATTACTCAGCTGTAAAAAAAACAATGTCATCATGAAATTTGCAGGCAAATGAATAACCAGACTATAATCCACAGCTCCAGAGAAGTTAGAACTTTCTTCCAGTAATTAATGCAGATGCAGAGATCCGCAACCAAGCTCCAAGCCAGACTCTGGGAATCTAGTCAAAGAGAGGGAGGAGGGAATACATGAACAAGTGCCACATCCACGGCTGTCTCGCCTGTGTGACAAAATGCCTCTCAGGTGGTGGCCGTCTCAAAATGAGGGGCTCATGCTTCCTGGAGCTTGGCCTCCAGCGGCTCCCTGGCAGTCTGCTAGAGTTGTGGTGCCTGATTAGCCTCAATGACCTCGTTCACTTTGTTCCTGGCGATGGTTTCTTGCATTGGCTCTGCTATCTTTTTTTCTGTTCTACTTTTCTCTTGACAAAAACTTAATCTGTTCAAGGAACCAGGAAACATTCCCAACGGCTCCTTGAATACGGAGGAACTGATGCGTCAGTTCCCTCCCTTGATTCAGGCCATTAATGTTATGATTAAGACTCTGGGGGAATTTATGGATACCCTAGAACAGAAAGGGCTCATGATAGGAGATATGGTACAAGATGGGTGAATTATGAAGGAAAATGTATGGAATGGCATGAGTTACCATTTACTGAGAGGCTAGCCAGAAACCTGTGGTGCATTTTAGATAGGAAAGAAAGGCAGGCTATTCTTGATAACATGAAGCCAGCCATTCGATATTGGAGCAAACCCTGGGGGTGGAATCCTGAAGAATGGTGTTTGGGTTACCTTGGTTACCTTGAGGGCAGGTATGATTTAGGGCCATGAGAAAGCACAGTTGATTAGTGGTGTGAGACAAATTTCAAAGAAAAGCTCTGCCCACCTGGCCCTGACCGCAAGACTTGCTGAGAATAATCAACTGTCTGTAAAAATTTTTCTATGTAAGCTTTTATGTCTGCCAACTTCCTTCTGTAATCGCTTAAAAGTGATGCTAGAATTTTAGTAAAATCGTAGCAGATTCAAATCTCATTAGAGTTGTGCCTGTCTGTCATTCGCCGAATCCTGGGTTCTCCTAAGCCTTCACCCCTGTTCTCCCTCAGTCTTCGATCTCCAAGAGAGTCAGTCCGCGACAAACAAGGGAGATTAAAATCATGATGAAAAAATCTACAGAGACAGCTGAACCAAGCTGGTGGAAATTCAGGAATGCTGTACAGCTGTTGATCCTCAATGGGACCAAACTAGGTTCTCCATATGTAGGAGACAGTTATAAAAACTTGGGATATCAGAGGGGCCCCTGATAGTAGGACCAGAATCTATCCCTGGTACTTGAGCTAGCTTGTTAGAGCCCATTCTCTATGAGAGGTTGCCATGCTCAGACTTAACATATAGGGAAGGGGCTTGGTCCTGCCCCAACTTAATATACCAAACAATATTGATGCCCCATAGGAGCCCTTATATGTTGGGAGGAGAGAATAGAAGGTGGGCTGGGGGGTGATGGGGAGGTGTGGAAGTGGAGTAGGAGAGGAAACTTTGGTTGGAATGTAAAATAAAATTTAAATAAATAAATGATTAAACAAACCCTTGCTCGCCCCCCCCCCATATTGAGGCACAAGCTCACAATCTACAAGGGTGATGTGTGTGACAAGGAAAGGGTGTCTAGAAGGACACAGAGAAGGAACCACATCTCACTCACATCTCAGCCTCCACCGTGGGGATGTGACACTCTTCATGGAAGGCTCTGGAGCAAGTGTCACAGCAGAAGAGCATTCCTCCATCCCGGCACACTTCACATTCATCTGAGTTCTGCATGTAGACAGTAGAACAGTTACATCACTGAGAGATGAGACCCACAGAGCCACTACTGTGGCAATCCTCGATGTGTCACCTTTGAATGAACCTGCAAGGGCATGGATGCTTCTTCCTGAGACACTAAGGAACAGCTTGGAATGTAAATTGCAGAACAAGACTTAAAGTTTGAGGGAAGGGAGCCATGAACCAATCCCAAAACAATCTTCCTTGGGAAACCAAAGATCCTGACACAGAAAGACTAGCAACAAAACAAGATTTTACGTAATCTGATGAAGTTTTCTATCATATACAAAAATGAGTTTCTGAAATAATATATTAAGTCCATTTTTCCATACAGAAATGGCATCAACTCATAAAAGGGAGATGTACCAGGAATTCAATTTGATGGAATAAACTAAGAGAATACCACATCCTGTAATTGAGCCACGAACAGGCAATGAATTGAAGAAAGGGTCTGCAGAGGAGTGTTTTAGACAGTGGGTTTTGTACGTAGAGAGCCCTGAGCCTGTGGTGGGGACTCTGAGAAGTCAGGGTATGAGTACAGATGACCAGCCAAGTGGGTATAAAGCAAAGGCTGTTGGAATCTTGTAGAAGATTCCACATGACCCAAGAAAATGTACATGTAAGGCCTGTAGTCACCTTGGCAATTGTGCATTAAAAGATGAGTAAATATGGCTTCACTTGGGAAAAGAGAATCCAGATGTCTCAATACAGATGTTAGCATACAGAAACAGTGGTTCTGGTAATCATACCAAACTGTCTGACACACACCAGCCTTTACCAGGAGGCTTAAATCGTCCTGCAAGAGCTGGGAAGTCGTGTGATACCGAGAGTGACAAAGAAGATTCTGACTTCCCATGACTCTGAGCAGATGAAGAGGCCCTGAGAGGATTATGAAAGTAAAATGGATCAGAGCTTCTGTTTCTCTGAGAATCCTGTTTTTACTCGAAAGAAGAGGCAAGCGCCCCCTGTTGCTATGAAACATTGCATTCAAGAATAAAAAATGGTTCTGTGGGTTGGACAATTCTAGCTCATTTGAGTCATTCAGAAAGAGATACTCTTAGAATTTAGAGGAAGGTAGAGGATATGGACTTTAAAGTCGTCATTGACCAGGTTAGGAGGTAGTTTCTTTCTAGGAAACTGAGTGATTGATATGTCCCAGTGGTTCAGAGTCCAAACCAGTGAGACAACAATGCAAATGACAAATAATACACAGGCCTGAAGTTCAAATTCTCAGTGAGCTATGAAGCCCAGTGTGGAGTGTTTCATGGCCCATTGAAGTCTATGTCGGTGATTTTTTATAATCTCAAGCTCAAAGGAGTCAACACTGAAGGAAGACCTGGCCTTACACACAGCCTGAGTGAAGACACAGGCTGAAAACATGAAAAGAAATAGTAGAGGAAGGAAGGAGAGGTGACTTTAAGTATGACAACCCAACCAAGACACCATAAAATAAGAAGTTTTGTGAGTAAAACCACATGATGAGAACTCACCTTTTTTCTCCTGCCGTAAATTCGTGGAGAATTGGGGAGAAAGTTTCTCTGCAAGAGAGAAGGATCCGAGCATGTAGTTATCTGTATTTCAGAGGTGTGAATTGGGAATTGAACCTCCTTCCAGAAGTTCTGCCTGGATCTTCCATTCAGATCCATGTTGTCTAACTCCATTTCCCTCTCATCGCATACAACTTAGAGACACTGGCCTGTGGCAGCTGGAAAGACCTCACATCTCTCTTCCTCAAGTCCTGAGAATTTTCCCTCACAATCCGTTGTTCAACCATTACACAATCTCTGTTCCCACTGGACACAATTCAGCTGTTCCTCACCAGGACTAGGCAGTTAACACACACGTGTTTCATGCATATATATATATGCATGCATATATATATTTCATGCATAGATATATATAGGGTGTTACATGCTCTGATGGATTTGGAGCACATAACAGAAAACGTGGTTGTGGGGAGATAGAAGAGAAAGTTCATGGAAGAAGCCTCTCTCCCTCTCTCCTCTCTCTCTCTCTCTCTCTCTCTCTCTCTCTCTCTCTCTCTCTC